GGGGGAGGAGGCAGAGGGGGGATGTGGCTGTCACAGAGGCCATGGCCCCAGCCGTGGGGGCAGGCTTGTGGCAGGAGGGGAGCCCGGGAGACAGATGCTCCTGGGCCTGAACGCTGGCTAATTTGGGCTCCTTACTTCCCAGACAATGCAGGGCAGCTGGGCTGACAGGTGTGGGCCAGGAGGGACCAGGCCCTGACTCCACCCCACAGCCTCACCAGGCTTAGCTCCCTGGCCAGACACTTCCTCCCCTGCCCTGTGGCCCCCCAAGTCCTGGGGTGGGTCTCCGGGGACAGGGACTCCGGCAACACTCTGTCCCAGCAGGAGATTGGGGAGGAATCGCACCCGGGACGCTCAGAGTCCAAGTTCTCTTTGATTCTCCGAGATTCCCCATGATTCCTTGCAATTCCCTGTGATTCCCCGAGATTCTCTGAGATTCCCCGAGATGCTCCGAGATTCCCCATAATTCCTTGCAATTCCCTGTGATTCCCCGAGATTCCCTGTGCAGAAGGGGTCCACTGGGCAGGTCACATTCCCCACCTTTTGGGTGGTTCTGACCACCTTTTGTTCTTATATTGGCCAGTCTGCTCTCTCCTTTCCTTGTCAAAACGCAGGATAATTCACCCAGGTATTCATTTATTGTGCACGTGAAGCCTTCGTAAGAAAGTTCTTGTACAAATTATAAACGTAACAAGCAATGCCATAAACTGCAGCCGACTCAGCCCTGGCCCTGGATTCCTTTTCTGACGCCAGCTGCTCCCTGGCGGGGTCGGGCCTTGATTTTCCATCCCTGCCCCTCCACTCGGAACCCTGGGCTCCAGCCCCCATGACGTCCAGACCCTGTCCTTTCTCCCTGGCAGCCTTCCAGAGCCACACAGAGTCACCTCTGTGGTTCCCCAGAACGACAGTGTCTGGAGAGCAGGGGCTTCACTACTGGACACTCTGGGCGCATCTCCTAGGGACACCCATCCTCCAGCTCTGTTCCCCACCAAAGGGGGGACCCAGAGCTCCCCAAACCCCTCTTGCCAGGCCTCTCCCTGGCCTGAGAGGGGTCAGCACCGCTGTCCTGGCCCAGCCTGGGCTCTGCCCCTTGAGACTGAGCCGGCCGACAATAATAGCCCTGGATTAACATAGCAGGCATTGTCTTTCTCTGACTATAGGGTGGGTATTATGTGCTCATCAACCATCCTAAAAATACCCCGTAAACAGGTGCAGACCTGTGGGCACAAGGCTGGGGACAAAGGGGGGCGGAAAGGGGAGACAGTCTCATCGAGGTCCAGGCCTGGGGGAAACCTCGATTCCTGGAGACCCACCTGGAGGGGGCGCCGGGCATCTGCAGACCCTCAGACTTCCACACTCACACACTACAAGCGTCCCCAAAAGGTGCGGAGCGTGGACTCGGGGCCTGGGGTCCCCTTTTCCTTGTAAGAGATGGAGGGTCATTGAGACAGTCTCTTCCCCCAGCCCTGCTGCCCAGGACTCCCAGTGTCCCCACCCGCCAGGCCCACTGCTGCTCCCCCTGGGTCTGCCTGTCCTTCCCTATGACTCGGGGCTCCCCAGGCGGTGCTCGGGTTACTGAGCCGATGGCCTCTGCGTGCACAGGATTTGTGTGTCCTCCGAGCCCCCCACATGTGTCTGCAAGCCCGAGGGCCTGCTGTGTGTGTGTGTGTGTGTGTGTGTGTGTGTGTGTGTGTGTGTGTGT